CTCTCTCTCTCTCTCTCTCTCTCTCTCTCTCTCTCTCTCTCTCTCTCTCTCTCTCTCTCTCTCTCTCCTCTCCCCTCCTCCCTCCTCCCTCCTCCCTCCTCTCTCCCTCCCTCCCCCTCCCTCTCTCTCTCTCTGCTCCCTCTCTCTCCTCTCTTCTCCTCCCCCTCTATTTCGAACAGTGTGCAAATAGAAAGCGCGCTAATAATAGTTAATACCGATGGTGCATTCCAGACACCTCTGTGTCGCGTCGACCGCTTTTTCAGCGGTTTACCAAAAGATCCAGGTGACATGCGCAAAATTAGCTATAGCCTTTTTGAAAACAAAATTTTAGAACGAAAGAGATTTGACAAATACGCAGAAAAGAGCGTTTACAAGATGTCCTCGAAATATGGAGAGTCTACGTTCGTATTAAAAAAAAATAATATGATGATATCTGCGTCCTAAAGAGATACTTTTTCTTTAGGATTTCGATAACAAATAATGACGAAGAGATTAATAATTCATTAACGAAGAGAAGACTACGTTAATTGATAGTACATGGAAAAGTACTTGATACGTATACACACTTGGGACTTATAAATTTTTTCCATTACGGCAACTCAGACCGGTAAAGAGATCGGTAAAGAGATTGAAAGGTTCAAATGATTTTTCAATATGGCGATTAACAATTGAATGAATAAACTTTCGAAGTTAATTTCATAAAATAAGAAATCGTGCGTGAGCATTTCCTCAGCGTCGACATAAATATACATATGTTTAAGGGCTGAGGAAGGACGATGATCCGTCGGTCATTTTCATGTAACAGCATATTTTCACCTTGGAATTCCTCGATCGTTTCCGAAAATAGGCCACGACCGGAATAACTGTAGCGTCGGATCGACTCGAAAAGTTACGGTTCCCGTGAAATCGACTTCCGTGCGATATATAACGGCCGCTTATACCCACGATTATTCGTTAGATTGACGTGTAATAATGGGGCGGGTACGTTTAGCACGCGTCAACGTAATGCGATGACAAATTGCGGATAGGCGCGATGTCAAAGAATCGTGATAATCGATTTACGGAAAATTGCCAGGCACGATGCCTGTTCCAGGAAATGATAGAGCGATGTAAATATTCTGTCGAATTGAGACTGAAAAAATTTCGTACATTGCATTAGATGATAGTCTGTATTAACATGAAGCATGATCAAACAAAGAATTTTCATAAAGAATTTTTAACAATCTTTTTTTTTACTCAAAGATTTTTAAAAAACGAACGGATATAATTAAAGGAACATTAATGCGATAAATAAATAATATTATTGACTAATATATTTCATATAAAATTTAATTCTTCGAATTTAATTAAGACACAAATATTTTTACCTTGCATACATCTTTTAATCTTTTAATATTTAAAAAAATTGTGATGACAGCAAAGTTATCTTCTTCTTGCGCAACTGCGCCGAATTAAACGCATTATGACGAAATGATTGATAACGAGTAGAAGAAAATAATATAACTATTACAGATACTTTATGTGAGAATTTTACGTAGATCACAACTTAAATTATGTGTGATAATTTATATTTCACACAGATGTAGACTGTCATTATTTCTGCATGAACGTCTTCAATTTTATTTATATATAATCGATCGTTTGATTGTTCTGTCGAATAACAATTTTATTTTATATAAAAAGTTAAATTATTTAATTTAAGCATTTTAACAATAATCTATTATTCAT